AGAACAGGATATCGGCCGAGGAGCTGTTGTCTATGAGGATCCTTTTCACCATGTAGTTGGCGATGATCATTGACACCACCAACGCGTCGTTGTGGTGCATAGAAACCCCTATAGGTCGTCATCTAAGAAGGAGATGAGGTCCTTCGACCTCAGCCTCTTTGGTGCTTGGCTCTGAATGTTATATTGTCGGGCATATGCCTTTCGAGACGAAGCGGATGCTCCCCCTAGGTCGAGCCCCTGGCTATGACCAGCGACTCTAGCTAGGGGGTGATGGGTGTGGGGCCTGGCTTGTGGCTATTACGAGGATGATGCCGGGGCGTCACCTTCAACATAATCTTTCAAGTGCCCGTGGCGGATGAGGGACTTGATCTCGTTCTTGAGCTCGCAACAGTCCTCGGTGTCGTGGCCAATGCCGTAGTGGTACTTGTAGACTTCTTGGGGTTCCCCCTTCTCAGGTTCCTCTTCAACTTGACCGGCCACTTCATGAATTCCTCCTTCCCTACTTGCATCAGTATGTGCGTTCAGGAGGATTTTAGACTTTAGTGGCATGTACTTGTTGAAGGAAGGGGCCGACAACTTCTTCTCACTGCCCTTGTTGGTGGGATCATCGCCGCAGCCATCCTTTTCTTCCTCTTCTTGTCACTGGGCCTTGCTTTTGGATCCTGGAGGCGTTTGTTAGCTTCGGCCTCCTCGGTGGCAATGTACTTCTGGACCTTCTTCAAGAACTCGGCTTTAGTCTTGGGTGGAGTCTTGGAAATGGGCCAGCTGAGGAGTCCAGGCCAGAGGCCACTGATGGCCGCATGCATGGAGATTGAGGGGTCGAGGTCCTTGACCTCGAGTTCTTCTTGGTTGAACCTCTTCATATACGCCCAAAGGCTCTCCCCGCGCTTCTGCTTGACGGACATCAAGGAGATGATAGTCTTCTAACACCATTGACTATTCACAATGTGACCTAGGAAGAGGTCCACGAAATGTTCCCAAGAGCCGATGGAGTGTGGAGGAAGTGTCAAGAACCATCGGCGTGCTGTTCCCTTGAATGTGGCCTGGAAGGTTCGGCACATGAGGGCAACAGATTATCCATGCAGGAGCATGAGGGCCCGGAAACTTTCCAAGTGGTCCTCGGGGTCTGTACTCCCATCATAGGTCTCCAATGTTGGGACCTTGAAATTTGGCGGAAGGGGCTTGGAGATGATGGAATCCACGAAGGCCTCCATCCGGGTGAATGAGGCATGGCAACGGGCAGAGGCGTCACCTCGGCCCTCCTTTACTTGTCAAAGCTGATCTTGAATGGCTCCAATTTGCGCCTGAATATGCTGATAAAAAAAATTGTGCCTGAATATCTTCGAGGCGCTGGTCGATGTAAGGCATCATCGCTTTGGTCTGGTCCTGATTCTCTCTCACACGGGACGGGCCGACACTATTCCTGGAGTGCTCAGACGCTAACACGTCCTAGGCCTTGTGAGCACAACGATCGTTGAGGAGGTCGGAAATTGGGGCGAGAGAGATGCAGCACCGGCCTTTTGCCCTCGGGGGGAGGACTATAGTGACCTGAGCGCCCGTCGTCATCTCGGTTGGTTGCCACGTGACGGTGTTGTCAGTTTTGTTCTTGCACACATCGTGGGACCCCACGGGGTCGCCCCCTCGGCTGGGGAGCCCAGGGGTCTTGGAATGGGGCTTGCTAGCCTGTCGGTTGCTGTTGTTGGATTCCGAGGGGTCGGCCCCCTCCAGGATGCCCAAGTGCTGGCTTAACGGGGTATGGGTGGATCGCCCACCGTGTTGTCATGACTAAGTTCTGAACGTTGGGAATGGTGTCTTGCTTGTTAGCCATTTCGGAGACACTAGTTGATTAGTTTAGATTTGTTTTTGTTAGTGGAGAGTTTTGAAGACGCTTCCCACAGACGGCGCCAATTGTTGCTACCAAATACGGAGCCGAGGGCAACAACATAATTTCTGGTGTCCGAGGCCAACGGATCCAACCTGCTGAGAGAAAGAAGAAGTCAAAGGCCCCGAGAGTTACCCTAGGGGCGTAGACTCCGACGGTCAAGTTAGCTAAGAACTGTGAGGAGTTGGACCAAGCAAGAGAGGAAACTTAGAGCTTAAGTCTGTGTGTCTTTACCTCAATGTGGGAGCCCCTTTTATAGCCGGAATTGCCTTAGAAGAGGGGCAGTTGGGAGCAGGTGGCCGCGGTTGGTAGTGGTTTATGATGGATGGCCAGGATGCATCTGGCCGACACCACGTGTCAAGATCCGCAAGTCGGCCAGATATCCCTACATCAGTTGGCTTTAGTTTTTACCTCAATGTGGGAGCCCATTTTATAGCCGGAATTGCCTTAGAAGAGGGGCAGTTGGGAGCAGGTGGCGGCGGTTGGCAGTGGTTTATGATGGATGGCCAGGATGCATCCGACCGACACCACATGTTAAGATCCGCAAGTCGGCCAGATATCCCTACATCAGTTGGTTTTAGTTTTTATAATAGAACTTGTTGCATGTTATCATGTTTCATTGTGAGGAAAGTAAAAACAAACTTAATCTTCAAGGGTTTCACTTTGATAAAAGAATCAAACCGAGGAAGAGGAGAGAACAAGAGCCCTCCATTATTCCCACACAGTCCTCTAAGTCAAGGTGAGTTAATTGTCTTCTTCTTCATTTTGTGCTCTGGTTCCTTTCATTTTGTTGGTTTAAAACAGTGGTTACACCCCATTTTTTCCTCTTCCTTTTTGTATCTTTTCCCCACGTTTTTTGAATCGTTTTATATTTTTATTGGACTAAAACAGGAGCTCCACCACTTCTTTTGTTCTTAAATTTCTTGGGTTTTTTCAGCTTTTTTTTCTCATCTTTGGTGTCTGAAACAGGGCAGAACAGGGGCTCCACCCCTTCTTTTCTTCTTCTTCATATTCTTCTTTTATTTTGGTATTTTCTTCACCAGCTTTTTTGGGTCTAGAACAGGGGCTCTGCCCCCTACTTTTCTTATTCATTTTCTTCTTTTATTTTAGTATTTGTTCCCTAGGTTTTCTTGATCTAAAACAGGGGCTCCACCCTTTTGTTCTTAAATTTCTTGTGTTTTTTAAGCTTTTTTTTTTCTCATCATTGGTGTCTGAAACAGGGGCTCCACCCCTTCTTTTCTTCTTCATATTTCTTCTTTTATTTTTAGTAATTTTTCACCAGCTTTTCTGGGTCTAGAACAGGGGTTCCGCCCCCTACTTTTCTTCTTCATTTTCTTCTTTTCTTTTAGTATTTGTTCCCTAGGTTTTCTTGATCTAAAATAGGGGCTCCGTCCCCTTCTTCTCAGGTTCATTTTGTTCTTGGTCTAAAACTCTAAAACAGAGGCTACACCTCTTGCCTACTTGAAGCAAGACTGCAAGAAACACAAGCACAAAAGTAAGTGCAGAGGTTTGTAGGTTAATACATAAAACCAAAAAAACTAGTTCAGAAGGGGCAGAAATCCATCGGCCTTTTATTTTTAAATTCCATCGCCTAGGCAAGGGCTAGGTGCCCACCTAGGTGCCTGGGCGCCCTATGGTTGCCTAGCCCTGCCTTGGTGCCTTGAAAACTATGGTGGAGACTGTCTCTTGTACTCCACAGAGTGCTAGTAGTGTTCATTGGGGAATATGTTGATTCCGGTAAAATTTCGTTTCACTACCCATGGAAACAAAAATATGTTATGGAAATACTAGGGAATTTAGGGGCATTTTAAACCATGTACCAAACACTCTCTGATATCATTCGCTGCTATGTTTCTCTTTGTCCTGTTCAAAAATAGTAAGATTCATAAATAAATTTCAGGGGTTGACCATTTACCATATTGTTCCTTTCATTAATGGCACACATGCAACTTTATCAAGATAAAATTACCGAATAAGCTACATTCAAGTGATTCAGGGGCAAGAAACTAAACACTCTTACGAGCAAATGGGTCAGAAAAAACATTGTCACATACCATACAGTGTTGCAGCTACTTAGAGAATTCCATGTTGAACCTAGTCTCTTAAGTGTCTTTCAAAGAAAACTTGAGGGAGAAATACACGTACATAGCAGCATTTCCTAGCTGGCTGCTGTCGTTGGATTTGCAGTTCAATAGATGAGATGGCTGCCTCTGGTTTTAACATTTTTCCCAGGTAAAACCGTAAGCAGTCAGGATGTGGTTGATCATAAAGAGAATCTTGATGTCTTTATTTTCATATTCTATAATTTAGAACACTTAAAAACATTTTCTAACATTTGAGACAAATGAGGGTGGGATTTTCACGAGTATATGCACTTATGTTACATGTAAAACTGTAGAAGACACTAAGACTATGGTTTTTTGTTGTCATTCTCAATTGAAAGTACAGAGGAGTTAAAAATTGCATTAAACTTCAGATATATAGGGAATAGATTTGGTAGGTGGTCATTTCTTGAGCTTCTTATCAGTTATCACCAAAAAAAATTGTTGAGCTTCCCCAAATAACCTAGGAATCTTCCACGAAAAACTTAATTTGGAGCTCAAAAAGAGTCTCCAATCTCTACATTCCTCTCCCCGCCCTTTTGTTAGTGGAAAAAATATTTGGCCTAAAAGACCTTGCTATCTGTTCAAAATATTCCCTCTTCTATGGGCAACTTCATATTAATAAAATAGGGCTAATGTGGACTTTAGGACTGAACACATAATCCGGTGGCTAGTTTCCCTATCTGATGGACAGTGTGGATCAGACTGGTTACCGAAAAAAGTGTAGATCAGCCACAACATCTCTCCACGTGGCAGACATTGGTGGTCATATAGGGAAGCTCCCTACCTGACCCAATTTAGATACATATTCCAGATGCATACTCGTCATATTGATTCCTCAAGTTTCTGGGATTACTAAACCACGGTTATTTTTCTTATATGTTGATAATTTCAGCATATCAACAACTACTTAGCTTCTAAAGATCATTCCAGGATCATTGATTTTATGTTAAGGCCATCTAGTATTGCAATTTATAGCCCATTTTAGAGATTTCATACTTTGGTTTTCCATATAGGTATTTGCTGACATGGAGGAGCTTGGTATTCGTCCAAACAATTCAATTGTTTCTATGATGGGAAATGTATTCCAGAAGCTGGAAATGATGGACAAATATGAGAAGTTAATGAAGAAGTATCCGCCACAAACCTGGGAATACCGATATGTTAGAGGCAAGCGTGTTAAGATTCGGTTGAAAGATATTCATGAATTCAATGATCAGACTAACAAGGATCAAGATGAATCAGACGACGAAAAGAAAAAGGATCAAGACGACTTGGATGAGGTAAGGAACAAGGATCATGATGAACTAGATGAATAAACAAGATTTTGTATGCATTTGATAAGGAAGCTAACAAGGGTTTAAATAAACCCGATGAAGCAGCTCGATTCATTTTTTTCTTGATGAGCCTAAGCTGGTTACAATGTTACATCCTTTATCCTTGTATTATTTATGGAAAATTTTAGAGGAATTTGTACAACAAAAATACCTGTCTCCAACTATTCTCTCTCTGATCAAAATTCCGTCACGTATCGGCCTGTATCAGCCGATATGTATCGTATCAGAGCCTTACCGATACACCCCTACAGGGTGTTTCGGGTCGGCGAGTGGTTCAGGGGGTAGACCGGCCTTAAACTGGCCCCTCTGAACCAATTCCGAAAAAAATAAAAAACATAAAAAAACAGTATCGTATTTTTAACCTCTCTCTCACACACACACAAAGAATCCACGTTTATTCAGCTTACGGAGATTAGTGATTGCAAAGCTTGCCTCTTCTTTATATCCAAGTTCTAGACTTTAGTTAGTTAGGAATTGGTTTGGGAGACAAAACTACAGAGCAAATCAACAATAGAACTCAATCAAGTAGAAGAGATCAGACCACTTGCTTGGGTCTTCAGCATTAAGCAGTCCTGGAGGATCATGGGACAAGCTGTAATATGACATTGTCAGCACAGTGTTTAGAGAGAAATTATTGTACCTAAAATATAAATTAGTTGCATATTTCAGTGAATGGAAAATGGGAATCAGATAATGTTTATGCATTTTTGTATGAAAAGTTGGTGGGTCTGATATTTTCGTTGTTTGGGCCAGTGGAGGCTGAATCCAGTATTCTTTTTTTTATACAGAGATTTCATTAAATGATTAAAAAAGTGGTACATGGAAGGGGAGCTAAAATATATCTTAAAAAAAGCAGTACATTGGACAAGTATTCTTGTGCTAACCTTCTCACCTTGACTTAACAGTCTGATATCCTTCTATTTTGGATTTATCTTTGTTTCAAATTTCAGTGGGCGGTGAAACACTTACAGCGTCTGTTTGATTTATAGTCGAAATCGAAATCAAAATCCTTTGAAAATAGAAGCGGAATGATTTATTTTTATAGTCTGTTTAGTTCAGACAGGAATTGAAATGAAAATTAGAATCAGTTAAAGTGGGATTTCATTCCAAGGGAACAAAATGGCCACTCCTTTAAATAGGGAATGACATTCCACTAAGAATACGAATAGGACTTTATTTCCATCCAACCAAACAGTTGAAACCGGAATGGTCTATCCAATTCCGATTCCAGACCCTTATTCCTGCAAACCAAATGGGACGTGGCTGCGGCACGTTCACCACCAGGTGGCAAAAAACCAGTACGCTGGAACTTCGATGAATAAACAATTCCAAAATCTAATCTCGATGAAATACCTTTCCGGGCAAGATGATTCATGGGCCTTTATTTTCCATGTTAATTGTGTGGGCTGGAATCTGGATCGAACTGAAGGGCTTGGGCCTGAGGTCGGCCTTCAATTTCGTGGTGTATGAAAGTATGTTAATATGCCAGTTGGCAGTTGCCATGCTATTTGGGAGGACATGTACAACACATTGCATAATTTCTTGATTCATGGTGACAAGTCACAACTCACTATTGGTAGAGTTAGGTAAGAAGAATCCCCATTCCACTGGTAAGTGAACAGAGAGAAACACTGCATCCGAAAGACAAAGCAAATCCAGAGACAACTAAGTGCATGTTTCGCATTTGTGTTTCGTTTCACCTGTTTGTCACATAAAAAAGGGTAAATTGTTGAAATCTCCCCTAAATGTTTTTACCATTGTCGAAATCACCTTTGAATTGTACTAACTGCAATCACCTCTCCTGAATTTTTTGATATAGTTGCAAGTAGATCTCTTGATTAGAATCCTTTAATTGTAATCACTTCCCCTAAAGTTTGATAATTATAATCACTTCTCCTAAACTTTTCCCTAACAGAAAGTTCAGGGAAAGTGATTACAAGGACCCCTATACTATGGGGCCAGTGACAAAGACCCCCTAAACTTTTTTTGCAATAAAGGTCCCTGAACTTTGGTCGTTAGACAAAGATTCTTTAGTCCATTAAGTTATATGACGAATGGTGTTAAATTACCAAAATATCCCACTAAATTTTTTTCTATTTTCTTATTCTTTCTGTCATCTCTCTTCTCTTCTCTTTCGCTCTCTTCCCCTCATAATGCATTCCCTTGAAACTAGCAAAAGAATGGGTCCTCAAGTACATCATCGATTACGCCGTCGGCCTATGTGCCCATCTCCTCGGCATTCTCTCGTAGTTAACAACCAGATATTGAGAGAAAAAACAGCAACAAATACTCTGTCTTCTTTCTTTCTCTACTTTTTAGCATGCTCTGATTTAATTAATTACTCTTGCAGCTTTTGACACTTTCCCAGAAGACAACAAAGCAAGAGCTCAAAATCTTCTATTGTTTTGTCGGTCTCCTCTCTTTGCCCGTATTTCATCAAGAGAGAAAGAACCCATCTTTCTCTAAGAGACGACAGATTTCGTCAAGAGAGAAAGAACCCATCTTTCTCTTCCACCCTCCTCGATGCAATTTACCGTTCCATAGATGAAAGCGACGGAGAAGAAGAAGAATAAGAACTAGTTTTCTATAGAGAAAGCATCAATTTGATGTTGTCTGGTCTGAGGTGTTTCGAATCAAGGATACAATCAGATAGTCTTGCCAACCGGACGAGGCTGAGGTGGAAGGATGAAGTCATGCATTGAGATCTGCAACTAGGAGAAAAGTTAGAGGCCTGAGGAGTTGTTCCCCAAGTAGGTACTCCGACGCTTAAGTCAGTAGGATCGAGAATGATGTGGCCAGGCCGAGCAGGTTGAAATAGCACTAGTCCAGGCCGAAGTGATAGTGCAAAGAGGTATTCAAAGAGTGCAGTTTCAAAAGGTCCCTTACCTTGAGTGGGGAATACCTATTTATAGTTGGGTGTCTGTGTCCCAGATGGATAGGGCTCCTGGAGTTGTTGTGATGAGGGCATCCACCGAGGTTTTCGGGAGGTTTCCTCTTCCCCAACGGAGTTCGCTTCCTTGTCCGTGTAGAATACTCCTTCTTAGTTGTGCTCTTCCATTACGTGTGGCATCGACATGGCCTGAGAGGGGGGCGACCGCAGAGATAGCCACATGGCATCTTTGGCCAACTTAACCATCACCCGAACACCATTCCCCCAGCTCCAAAGACAAGGAGTGTAGTTCTCGATACGATTGGATGTGGAAGAGTTATGTGGTCTTCATATGAGGAACTTTAGTTTCTTTGAGTTGGCTAGCCCAGGGTAAGATCGGTTAGCTGGGCGGATCGGCTGGTTCAACATGTGCTATTTCCATTATGAGCCATTTCACTTTGTCATTTGGAAAGAGTTTGCACCTTGGAATTCGGTTGACGTCCCTTGCTTGATAACTTAGGTGTCCCAAACTTCTTTTTTCTTCGATAAGATGTCTTCCACTACGCCTTCCCTGTCTTCCCTTTTCACTGGGTATACTTCAGGCGATGAGAGTGAGGGTAGTCCTTGGCGCGAGGCGGTCGAGGTTAAGGTATTGGAGGCCAATGCCAATGTGGTCAAAGTCGGTTACGGGGGCGGTGCTGAGGTCCGAGAGATTGGTGCCTAGGAGACTGGTGCTGATGAGGCGGTTGAAGCCGATGTGGAGTCGAAAGAGCAAGCCCTCGAGAAGATATTTGGGGAGTAGTTTGCCCCAACTCCATGTAGCCTTTCTCCGGCTGACCTGGCTCGAATCCAGGAAGTGTATCGCATTCCTGAGGAATACGATCTGAGGTGTCTTGGGATCGGGGAGAGGGCCACTTCGGCTCATCTTGGGGAGATTTGTTTGTACGTCCATAGTTTGATTGCCAGCCTTAAGTTCCCTTTAGATCCTGGGGTAGTGGTCGTCCTGAGGTGGTATTAGGTCCTACCTGTTCAGTTGATGTCGAACTCGTTTTAGTACCTAGTCGGGCTGCTCTGCTACTGCACTCTCAAGGATATTGAGATTACCCTACCGATGTTTAGATAATTTCTCTACTTGAAGAAGCACAATCAGGGGTACTACTACCTTTCGGCTAGGCCAAACACCAAGGTGCTCATTAGGGCTCCCTCTTCCATTAAGCAATAGAAAGAGGGTTTCTTCTTTGTGAAGTGCCGAGGAGGTCAGCCGTTCTCCCTCACCTTATCCATTTCGAGGACCAAGGATAAGGGTCCTTCCCAGACCGAGTTGTTGAAGGAAGAGATAGCTGTTGTGAGGAGGATAATGCGGGTGCACATCGTCCCAATTGCTGACCTTGGCTGGGCTGATGTGTCCTTCAGCCGAACAATCCTACCCCAGTCTGTGGGCAACACAGTCTCCCTTTTTTGTGAGTCTTTCTTCACTTGGTTCTAACTTTGTGGTGAATTGTGCAGATTTGCACATTGTTGGTGCTAAGGAGAAAGCTCAATGTATGCAAGCCACAACCGCGAGGAAGGCATAGGCGGCTAGGACCTCGGGCACGCAGCTTGAGGCCGTAGAGCTTCAGTGTTGCTCAGTAGAGTGCATGCCTTGGTAGGGGAAGGGGCTGAGGTCAATGGAGGAAGTTGTGGTAGTTGACTTTGAGGAGTCCACGACACAACTCGGGCAGTCTTTGTTGCAAAGGGGGAAGCTCTGAATATGCTTCGGCTAAGGACTCGACCAGTGTGTATGTGCCGCAATGGTCAGCTCGGCCGGAGGACACCCTTGAGACGAAGAGGGTGGCCGAGCAGCTTGCCTGGGGTGTGATGCTTCACAGTATTAGGAAGCAAGCCAGTATCCACACCAACAACTTCCTAGAGAGTGGGGCTCTTCACCATATCATGGTGGTAAGTTCGGCTTTACTTGTTCTTCCTTGTTTCTCTTCTTCTCTTTTATATGAACTATTCGATGCCCTGTAGTCGGTTTGTTCAGTCGTCTGCCTTGTCGACTGCCTTCGCAGGCTGCGGCGATTTTATGAGTCGCGAGAAATCGGGAATGCCCAGCTGAAGGCAGAGTTGGCCGAGCTGAAGCATGGCATCGAGGAGAGGGACGACATTGTCCACAAGATGAAGGGCCACATCCATGATCTTAAAGTGGTGCGGGAGGAGCTAAGTAAGGGGCTCAAGGAGGCCGAGGCGAAGATAGCTCAGGTGAAGGATGAGGGCTTCTCCGACTCTTGGTAGGAGGG